CCCCAACAGGTTCTGCAGGGTGCTGATGCCACTACCCATATTTGAAGTAGGCAGGTCTGGATTCTAAAATATGGCTTACACTTTGAATAGGTGTCTTTACCAGTAAATGCCCTGGAAGACCAAAGCTTAAAAGATTAAAAAAAGGAACAGTCTGGTGTGAGTGAAAATGATTCACTCACACCAGACTGTACCTATCTTTATGCTTGGCCATAAATTAAACTTTATCTTCCTAAAAAATAATAAACACTTAAATAAATAATATTTTTCTAAAATAAAAAGAAGCAAATTCAGAAGATAACATCTCTAGTTTCCACATTTCATGCTATAAATTTATTCAACATCTTCCTGCTGAAATACTGTAACTGAAGAAAGAAAATCATTTTTTCAATTTTTACCAACCTCATTGTGAACTGAGAAGAAAATCATCAAATAAAAATGTTATTTGCAGATGCTTTAAAACAAAAAGAAGTCACTGCCCATGCCTGACAGAAACAGTGCATATATTTTCATGTTACAGCTATGTGAAAGATCCCCCTTTCTGATAGTGTGGCAAGTGGTTTGCACATGAACTGTAACCGTATCTTCCCCAGATTGCGGTGGCACCTCTCGGTCGATTCCGGTTGGCCAGGTGTGCTCTTTAACCAGCTTCTTATTTACTGGTGTCCTGACTTGAAAAACAACCGAGGCTGCTACCAATATAAGCTTTTTCTGATTTGTTGTACCAAACGAAAACCTTTACCTCCGAATCGTCTTCTAAATGCTCACTGTTTTACTAAACCATTTGTAAAAAGATGACCCCTGACTGCCTCAGGAACTATTTTTGCAGGGAGCTAGAGTCTCCAGGTGCAGCTAAATCGGTGATACCCCCATGAGAATTTGAAAAATATGACTCATCTAAATGAGATAACCCAGCCCTTGGTGATTCACCCGTGCTCCCAACACCTGCTTTGCTACAAGCTAGCTTTCATATATAAACGGCCTTACCATACATATGTTGGTACAGTATTCGATATACCATTGTCCACACTGGAAATTCTAAAATCGCTCTGTGACAATAAAGTTTCCTGTAAACTGTGCTTATACTTTGTTTTTGAAACTTTAACTTCCTTTGTTATTTATTATTTTTAGAGTAAAATGGTAAGCCATTACTAGTATGGCAGATTCTTACAGCATACAAAACGGTCTCCATTTTGCCACAGTCAATAGGAAATTCTAGCAACCATTAATGAGGCTCTGAAAGACACAAGTGTTCTTCCACAAGAATAAAAATATTATCCAAAAGCAAGACAAATGAACTTGGGTGTATACAACCAGCACTTTTCTGACATCTTTCTATGAAGCCCAAATAGAAAGCAGAGTACATTGTGCACCTAGAACATAATGAGAATACCCAGAGCCATTCCTTCACTGCAAGCACCACAAGATAACAAAGTAAGTCTGAAAAGGTTACAAGCTGGCTTAAAATAACACAAATATGTAGTAAATGAGATTCATGCATTGCCAGGCTCTGCATTTAAATTTCATCTAAAGGAATTGTGACTTAACACTTAAAATGCTAATTTTCACAATACGGTACATATTCTTTACAATATCTCGATCACATTTTTAGACTTCAAGCTGTACTTCCTCTGAAAAACTGAGGGTCACTAAGGTAAATTTACCTTTTCTGATGCCTGGGAATACAGTATCTCTGAACATTATTAATCAACTATTCTTTTGTTAACCAGATACATCAGTTGAGACCACCTGGCCAGCAAGCTCACACCACTGCAGCAAAGGAAACAAGAATGTCCCAATAAAACCAAATCAAGAGAAGAACACAAGAAAAGACACAATCATACAGAAGTGACAGTCAGTGCATTATATGTCTAAATGCACCAGAAGAATCATAGTGGTATAATTCTGACTTTTGTCACAGCTAATGTAACCAAGGAAGTAACCAAGAGCACTGTGGACATTGGAAATACCCTTTTAACAAGATTAGAGAACTTACAATAGTGCACAGATATTTCCCAGTAAAGGTTCTGTAAATTACAATTAGCTTGTATTAGTGGAAATGAGGAATCTGACAATAAAAGGCCTAGTGGCAAATGAAATATGATATCAAATATGGCACCATATTTTCATACATGAAGACTTAAATGTTTGGGTTGATCCTTTGTAGTTGTTTCTAGAAAGAATGATGAACTGGAATCTGACAACTCAATACTGGCATGTAATACAGAGACCTTGTGTCTCCATGCAGTCCAATTGAGATGCTGTGATGCGCAGTGAAATCCTGGAATAGTCTGAGCAGACTACCTCAGCATTAGCATCCATCCCAGGAATCTCTTCCCTGGTGAAACAACCCATCATCAGATAATGGGTAGCCTTGGCTACAGGGTGGAAGCCTGTGCCTAGCTCCCAGGAAAAAAAGAAGAAAGCTCAAGTACAGATCCAGCCATTCAAAATGCGCGAGGTACGCTCCGTTAAAACGTGGTGAGTATGGCGTATCCAGAATCACTGCCAGGTGGAACTAATAAAGCTTAACCTAACACTGTAGTAAGATCACCACATGCTGTTACTGTCAATAAAATAAAAGTTGTACTGATTTTGAGTCATGTAACTAAGCAGTTAAAATATTTCGGAAAAATATTTTGGACATTTGTTGCTTTTTTTTAAAAGCTTGTATTGTTCTTAAAGTAGTCATGGAAAACATACTGTACAGTATGTTGAAACCATAAAATGACTGTGAAGACATGTTACACCTTTAAGTAAGCCAGTGACTATTGTTTACTATGTTGAGACAAGGTTGTGTAACTCTGCAGAAATTATTCTGCAATAATTATAGAGAGGACACATTGTGTATCGCCTCATACACAAGTCTTTTTAAACATCTGCATCAGTTTAACTCATTCACCCGTGATTTTGCCTGCCCTTTTCAGCTACAGGTTAAGCTGCTAAGTGGTGTATTGGTGCAATGGGTTATGCATGTGCTTTGTGTGCTGGAGGTCAGGGGTTCAAAGCCAGCTGTTGTCATGAGGTTTTCTTTTAACAAATAAACATTTCTTTAAAAAACTAAAATAGCAAATATTATGGACACTATATTGACATTTTTTATATTTCTAAATATCACAACATATTCGAAGCTAAGTGATTTATTCATAACAACAAATAATTTCAAACTGCTGCTGTACTGCCACTACGGTATAGCTTGTGGGATATATATTTATTTGTCCTGCATCAAAGTTGAACTCGTTCAGAGAGCCCTACATTACACACTCTAAGCATTTCTTTTTATTTATTGCTACAATATCAACAGCAATTAAGGAACATGTCAAAATGTTTCCAAAATAACCATAAGTGAACCAGTTGAGGGATTTGATAATAGCAAAATCATAACAATGACCCTGTGTTGCTAATCATGCATACCCAAATGAAAGGACACGTGATGATTTTGTATTTAAGCATTTCTTAATGGAAATCTTTAAGTTAAACAAGGGAGGGGGGAATGTTTTTTTTTACAATTGCAGCTATAACTGAACAGGACAGGCAAAAATTTTCCAAGTAATCGCGGGTGAATGAGTCAAATTGATGCAGATGTTTAGAAAGAAAGTGTACTACAGTGCTAATTAGAGCTATATGAACATAATTATATCGTTATTAATTTCTTTAAATACGCAATTCCATATTATATTCCCTATTAATCATATTCTAATAAGTATGTGTTTCCTATACTGCGATAACGAGCGCAGGTATTCATAGAAAAGGTTCAAACATTATAACTTTTGTATATACGTTTATGAACTTCATATAGTCAGAAGGTGCACATAAAAACTTGTCCAAAATAACCACAGTATGTAACTGAATGAAAGACTTTGATGCTTAAAATGTTTAGGAATAAAGTGGAATACTAGTGTGTATTTTTCAATTAAATGAAGCAATTGTTTCACAAACAACCAAGACATCACAAGTGCTCCTGATGGTCATTTTGGCCAGCCATTCACATAGATAATTTAACTTGCAAGAATTTAACTTGCATTTTGAATGGCTACATTTGTATCTTGGTCTTGAAACAGAATCCAGTTGCCAAGCACTGAGGGAGAACAGGAATTCAACTTCAGAGAGGAATCCTGGCATTGAGAACCAAAGACATTGATGCAGGTGGGCTTCAGAATCCTGGGTGAGATAATAATAATCATAATTATAATAATAATAATAATAATAATAATTGCTTACACTTATATAGTGCTTTTCTGGACACTCCACTCAAAGCGCTTTACAGGTAATGGGGACTCCCCTCCACCACCACCACCAATGTGCAGCATCCACCTGGATGATGGGATGGCAGCCACAGTGCAACAGAACGCTCACCACACATCAGCTATCAGTGGGGAGGAGAGCAGAGTAATGTAGCCAATTCTTAGAGGGGGATTATAAGGAGGCCATGATTGGTAAGGGCCAATGGGAAATTTGGCCAGGACACCGGGGTTACACCCCTTCTCTCTTCGAGAAGTGCCCTGGGATTTTTAATGACCACAGGGAGTCAAGACCTCGGTTTTACGTCTCATCCGAAGGACGGCGCCTGTTTACAGTACAGAGAGTACAGACCAGAGTACAGAGTACAGACCTCCCGGAGAGGCTGCTGAGGCGTCTGCCCGGGGAATCGAAGATCAAGAGCCAACAGTATGGAGCACAAAATAAAACGGAATCAAGAAAAAAACTAAAAGGGGGTGAAGAGGACAATGATGAAGCACTGATGAAGCAGGGAAAGGAATAATTGGTAATTAAATTCAGAGCACCTGAAGGGTTAAGAAACTTTTAGGTTGCATTAGCTATGCATCACCATCAAGTATATCTTAACTTAAATGACACATACATTAGCTAAAGATAATTCTACAGAGCTCTCAATCAAATCTGCACCCACACAAGTGGAGAAGACTGTAGACTGGACTGTATGAACTGAAGCGAGTAATGCCTAAATCCCAAAAGTTTTCAAAGAAAAGAGGACCACAACTCACCTTTTCTCCCAGAACTAGGTTGGCCCAATGGCATATCTGTTACAGACCCTTTAAAAAGAAAGCACAGCTTTTGCACAAAACTTTCAAATTTAACTTCAAGGGTAAGTTTGTGAAATCTAGGTGATAGCAAAACAAAGTTGTCACATTTTTGTTCTTACAATATCAACAACATATTTATTATACCACTAGGAAGTGAGTTTTAATACTATAAAACCACTTCTCAGTACGTCACAATGTGCTCCAGGTCAAATTGCTCTGGACCTCCAGGATGACTGTACAAAGCATACCTGGCGAAATCGCAAAATAACACTGTTTCCAAAATTCTGCCTCACCAAAAATCAGTGCCTTGGTGTTTGGATTTTTCATCATTTATGAAGTATTTGGAACAATGCTCATAACAAATGTACTCATTCATGACATTCTCATTATGTTAAAATGGCTCATTCAAGATTATTTTATAATTTGTTAAGAATTTTATTGAGTTTCACCAGACAACAGAAATTTTTCAATAATCTTTAAAAGTCTCAGTGAATTCACTCTTCTTGGAGGAAAGCATCCTGATTAAGGAGTTACCTGATATACGTATATATGTGCACATCTTCTATTTCATTTTTTCGTTAATGCTTTCTTTAATATGTGTCAAACGGACAAGAAATGTAATTTCAACTAGTTATTCTTATAAAAAGGAAACTTTTTATAATACCTGACAATCCACTTGTCCCAGCATGAGTTCCCATAAAGTCTCGGATGTTTCCTGCAAATGTATGTTAAAGGATTCTTTTCTCAATTAGGTATTGATTGTCCTTTATAGCAAGTGATTTAACGGTGTTAATGAGAGAGTTAATAAGAAATGGCCATCTTTAAGATGAAAGGTTAGGGAATGTTAGTTAAAACTTTCAGCAGTACAGTAAATGACCGGGGACTGAGGGTTGGAGTCCTGGACACTCTTGTATTTAGATATAGTATAATATAAACTGTATGAAGCATCTGTCACCAATTACGAAGAACAAAAGTGAAAATATATCTTTGCATGAAACAAAAATGAAAATATTAGACCTTATGTAGGACAGAAGGGTAACTTAAAGAAAGGATTTAACTAGAAACAATATGTATATTCTTAAAAACTTAATGCAACAGAATCTAATATACCTTTAAATATTGTGTTGTTCAGCACATACTGTCATCATAAAATCTCACAATGATCTTGTTTGTATATATACTAAACATCAATGCACTAATGTTTGAATAGGCCTACTACCTACTAAATGTTATATAACAGATTTGATTGATAAGTGCCTACATATCAAGAACTCAGTTATTTGCATCAGTGTGCAATAAAAACTTTGGTTTTATGAGTGACTATTATAGTAAATGTAACACTTAGTTGAGTCCCCCCAACAAATAACACTTTTTAGGGACTTCATAAATCAAAATCTATAAATGTGTTAATATATTATATATAATATTAGAAAACACAGAAAAAATAAATGTGTTAGAAGAACAAAAATGTGCATTACCAATCAAATGTTTTTCATTATTTTTTTTCACAAATATAATATTGCTCAACTTATGGTGCATTAAAGATTAAAGATCAAAATGGTAACAATTATAAACCTTTAGTCCTTTGACCTGTACTGTAACATAAAAATTGTTAATTTCTAATGCAATCTAAAAGCATTCTAACATAAACCCAGAAGAACACCAGTTGTTTGAATCCAGAAATAAGGTTAAGTAAGAATAAAGGTTCATTGAGCATTTTTGTGGAACACTAACAAAGCAATACTAGGTCTAGTCTCACAAATACATTTCTTTAGATATTCCCTGAAACTCAAATTATTGGGAAATTCATAAGTCATTAAGAACACTTAATGAATTATGAATTTCCCAATAATAATAATAGCTGAATTCTCTAGGATGGAAATTACAATCAGTGGAGCTATGCTAGGAAACATAATACCTGAGCACACCGGTGTCCGGTTCTGCACAGAGGAACCACCTACTGGTTTCCCGTCCGGTGTCATACACCAGCAATACCCAGTCAGAGTGTGGCACTGAACCTGAAATTGAAGGATATGAACTAGGTGTTAGCCATTTAGACAAACAGAGTCATTTGCAATGTCCCCACAGAGATACCCACAATCACCACTCTGTTACAGTATCAGATGGAATCTTGGAACAATGTTCATATATAGTATATCTTTACCATCAATTGTGCACAACTCAAATGCAGGAGGATCGCAGTGTTTTCATTCCAAGTGCTCTCGTAATGACCTCTTTGAGCAAATCATTAGTTTGATTGTACAAATTTAACACTTTTAAAATGTCACATTTTGTTTAAAAAGACCTAGAAAACCTGCCAGAACCTCGCTTTTTAAGACTGTAGTTGTTAGGAAATAGTAGTGAGGACCCTACGCAGAAAACCAGAGCGATCTCCAGAGGCGTAGTCGAAAGAACAATCCGAGGTCCGAAAGCCGAAGGTAGACAAGCCGGTGCAAAAGTAAAAACCAGAAAACAAAGCCATAAACCGTGAGGAAGCAGAGAGTCGAAACCAGAACGAGAATCAAAGGACCAAAACCAAAACCAGGAGACGTAGTTGAAAACAAACCAGGATCACGAAGCCAAAAACCAAGTAGTAAAATAATGGCGAGGATCAAAGTAGCTCTAGCCAGGAAGAACCCTAATACTGAGCACAGTGGAGAGTGTGTGGCAGCATTAAATAGGCAGGGGTAAATGGGTTAATTTGGAAAAGTGCTGGAATGCGAGGTGAAATGCCGATTCCTCTGGGGGCATGGCGTAGCAGTAGTGTCTTGTCTGGCACTATATTTGCACTTTGAATTAAGGATGGTCACCTTTTTGTAAAATGTTTGTTTTATTATGTGGTGACACAGATGGATCTGGCAGTAAACTAATTATTGTATATGTTCAGCAGGTGCCTGTCGTAATATTTCAGTTCTTTCTTTTTGGAACAGACTAAAACAAATGACAAAATGGAATGTCCACAAACTACAATGGAGAAGATATGCCCATAGACAGAAACTAGTGCATCATCTGTTAAGCATGGTGCAAGTAATGTAAACTGTTCAAGCATTACTTAAAAACATTTCTTAAAAGAACTTATAGTTTAGGCCGGGAAGCCTCTTCAAGATAGCTACAACATCTTGTGCTGTTCCCTTTTTTCTTTCCAATTTTGACCCCTTGTCCTTTTTTCACTACGTAGTTTAAAGTAGTTCCATTACCCTATCTATAGCATTGTAAAGCTTAAGCATAACCTCACTGGATTTAAAGTCCATACATTTTGCTAAGTACACAAGCATTCTGTTTGATTGTTATTCCTTCACTCACATTCTTTAGAAGAAAGAAGGATGTAGAAGAATCTCTACCCCTTTAAAAAACAGATCCCTTTCTATGTGTATACTCTATATCAGTGGTTCTCAAACTGTGGTACACGCACCTGCAGTGGTACACGGAGTGCCGCCAGGTGGTACGCCAAATGACCCTGGAACTGTGTTGTGTGCGCTGAAAAATCGGGACGGGTTTTCATATTTTATATTTTAATACTTGTCGAATACGCAGCCTACGTACTACGAGACAGTGTGCGCTAATACTTCAGTGGACAAAAGAGATACTCTGTAATTCTATACCACTCTATAGAAATGCGTGCTATGGACGCAAGTGACCCATTGTATTTTAAAAAAATCTCCAGTATCGCCAGCAAATAGGGAGGTAGGAGAATGTGCCTGATTTTGGAACAATGCCAATGTTGTAAGCACAGGAATGCATAGAAATATGTGCTACGAATGCTGGTAATCTTGTGAGCACAGGAAAGCGTGATAGATAACAGAAAAATATTTAAGAACTTTTCTAAGTTAATTTGAGAAAAATACACAGAGCGTCTCTGTGTTTCACTCCCATGCGCATGAAAAACTTAAATATGTAAATAAAAACGGAAACGGGGAGAAATGCAAGCTTGCAGATTGCTAAAGCAGGTAAGCCACACTATTTTTGAAGAACCTTATTTACCATTGGCAAAAAAGCTGACACGTATTATATTTGGAGAAAAAGCTGCTAAACAGCTCGACCTGCTGCCCCCCCGAAAGACACAGTCACTCATAGAATTATTGAAATGAAGGATTATATCAAAAGTACACTGATAGAGTGGGTTAAGATAAGCAGATGTTTTTCACTGCAATTAGATGAGTCGGTAGTCAATTTGGCCAATATGCTCGTTTACTTTAGATACGAGTTGGAGGGCATGTGCCATGAGGACTTTTTACCAACTTTCTACCGCTACCAACAGGAACTACAGGAGAGCACATATTTCAGCTTCTGAATGAATTTATCGAAGAGAATGTCATCGACTGGATAAAATGTGTCGGAGTTCATACAGACGGTGCTAGAGCGATGACAAGCCAACACAGCGGTGTAGTTGCACGAATTAGAGAGGTTGCTGCAGAAATGAATGGACGCATTGCAACATCCACCGCGAGACTTATGCCTGACGATTTAAAATCTGTTAGACTCTGTTGTGAATTGTATCAAGGATCGAAAAATTAATTAATATCTGCTTTGCTCGACTAAACAGGCTCACCCCTCTCACTGAAATGGTGCTTTTTTATAATTTTATCTGTTGTTGTTACTGTTTTTTTCTGTAAAACACTTTGAAAAGCCACCTTTAAAGGCGCTATATCAACTAAAGTTTATTATTATAATATTTATTATATGTATGTGTGAGTATGTGTGCACACGCGCTCATGTTGGTCATTGAGAATTTCTGGGGTTCCTATGAGATGATGACTTGTAGGCAGTACTTGGATGCTTTGGTTGGATTAGGGGTGGTACTTGGTCCAAAACGTTTGAGAACCACTGCTCTATATGTAGTGGCATACAGATGCAGCCATTCAAAATGCGTGTGCCACCGCGCTGTACCGCGGTATGTAATTGGCTGGCCAAAATGACCAACAGGGGCACTCGTGGTGCATTGGTCAGTAGTGAAAAGATTTAATCATTTAATCTCTTTACTGTGTACATTTTAATCCACTTAGTATTGAATATTTATATGGAATTTTACCACTAAAGGGAAATTTTAGTTGCTGAGCATAGAAAGAATAGGAGCATAACGCATCTGAAGTTCATAAACGATATTAATTTAGGAACATAAACATATTACTGTATGTAAACTGTACTGTATATGGCTGTTGTTGCTATTTTAAGGAAGAAATACACACCAATATTCCATTTCACCCTAAACATGTTAAGCATCAAAGTCTTACAGTACATGTGGTTATTTTGAAACTATTTATTTTAACAAATAAACATTTCTTTGAAAAACTAAAATTGCAAATATTATGGACACTACAGTATATTGAAATTTTTTATATTTCTAAATATCACAACATGTTCGTACTGTATGTACGCGGTGCCGCAGGTTGTAGGGTGTAAATCCACATGAGCCCGAAAGCCCTACATTAATGTTATGTATTCGCCTGGCGCTTCACAGTTTTCATCTCTCTCTCTGCGTGAGTGCTGGCTGTGCTGAATTAAACCGGTTTTACAGGTATTTTCAAAGTAGACTAGGACGAGTCTTCCAGCGAAAGTCACTCCACCTTCCTCCACGGACACGTTTTCTTAGAAAAACAGATTCGCAGCGAGAAGATGTCAGTCATCTGTGTAAAAAAATCAGTTTGAACACCATGGGGACTGTTTTTAATAAGCTTTTTAATAATAGTTTTATGTATAGGCTGTGAAAAGTTTCACAAGTAGAGGTCTTTAAAATTAGGCTGGGAAAACAATTATTTTAATTCTTAAAATATAAATAAAAAAACGAGATATAATGAAGTGTTCCTAGACATTGCATGACTTTAAAAGCTATAAAACCAGGTTTCGATAGTTAATAACCACTTTTTATGTGCCAAAATGGGTGATTTTTCTTCCTTGTGAAGGAAAAAATCATATTCTGTTGTCTTCCTGGTATGTAGAACAGATCAGCAGGTCTTTTTTCCCCAGTCAGAGGCTCTGAAAACAGCGTGCTGCCAACTGCGCTGTGTCAGAGGGGGAGGCGGCACCGGGAGAGGGAGGCAGCTCGGCGCTCAGTAATGCACAATGGCTGTAAAGCACCAATTGCGTTTATAACTTAGTGTTTAAAATTAAACAACGTAAATAATTTTCTTTGACTTCTAAGTCCCTTAATTATCATTAAGCACAGATTTCTTTTTTGATACCATCGTTAGTCAAAGCAGGAACTTACTGTACTTTCTAATGACATTACACGTGGAAAGATTACAGATTTTAATAGTCTTTAATTTTGTTATACATTTTAGAAAAGGTTCATCTATGTATACACCACAAAACTATTTTTGATTGTATTTCTGAATGTTATGTATAAAAAAAAACTTGCAGCTTACTCAATCATTCCAAGATAATCACGAGGAAGTGTACTGCATGTCTATTTAGCCTGCATGCCTCTAATATATTTCCCAATATTTACTGTTCTTAATACCTTAATTTTTACAGTTTACATTTAGAAATATCACAAAAAAACACTAAAAATAACTACACTCACACAAGATTTATTTTTGCACCATAGTATTACAAGTTATAATTTTTATAATTTTGCCTGGAAAAGCAACTAGCTTTGGCATACTAACCTGCGCATAAGACCCATCCTCATTGCACTCGGGGATGAAGATGGCCTCCTGCGGCCTCTTGGCCTGCTCCAGGGCTTGGGACCTCTCAGCTCTGCATTTTGTCAGCCCTGCATCTATAATACAAGCAGACCTATACTGACTTGTAATGGATCATCTGCCCCTACAAAAGCTGAATTGAATCTGAAGGGAAGCTGAAAGCACAGCTACATGGAGGACATACAGACTGCTCTCCCTTTCTCTAGAGTAAACACATTAACTTACCATATAACATGAAAATTGCACAGTGGGACTGAAATGAACTTGTTTGTTCAGACTTATATGTGTACTGATGTTCACTAATATGTTAATTTTTGCTCAAGCTCACACAACAGCATCAGACACAGCTGATTACTGACACATGCCTAGAAACAAATGGCAGTATCTGTACTCTAGAAATACTCTAAATTTGCACTCCTCAATCCCTTTACAAATTGAGCAACTTGGGATATCCAGTGTATTCATTTTTAACCTAACTAAATGGTCCTCCACTTTTCTAGGATTGTTTTTGCTTTTTAACAAATACTTTCAAGAGAGTTAAAAATAAGAAAATATCAGACTGTTCTTCAACCTCACTAGCAAATTATTTAAATTTGGGCCAAATGTGGAGGTCTGGAGGAATCCTTAAAAATATTGTAGTCCTGAGACTGTGATGGCAAGTACACCAAGGGTTTCTGAATATTGGTCTCAGGATCAATAAGAAGAGAATATGACCACTGCACTGTCAAGGAGCTTCAACATATTGCTGTGATCCCAGAAGAAATTAAAACATTCCTTGACCATACTTGACCATTATGTACAACATAGTATGACGCCATACTTGACATCAAATATTAAGTCATGCCAAGATTTTAGATCGTTTGGCTTTTTAATAAGACATTTTACACTCATTGGTCCTTAGTGCAGGTCTCTACACATCTAAAGAAATGTATTTGAAATTATTTAAACAGTAGAATGTAGAAGTAACAGTTTACAGAATGTCAGAAGTCTACAGAATGTAGAAGTCGTGCAGAAAAAAAAACAATCTGGCAGTAGAACTTGTCAATACTAATTCTAACCTAGCACTGGTCATATTTTTTTGTGGATAACTGGATGTCACTTATTTTGAAATGAATTACAGGAATCAGAATTGTTTCTGTGGACAGAGGAAAGAAGTTTTGGTGTAGTTAAAACTTAGATTATCTAAAATTCAATGTAAATTGAGCATCTTGAAATTAGAAACCTGTGACAGACATGTATCACTTTCCTTGAAATAGCTGGCAGGCACAATATAATTGTGAATCATGAAACTATATAGCCTAAAACATGTCCAAAGGCTGAAACACATTGTAATGTTCCCTTTTTTACCCTTCTTCCAAATCACACACTGACCAGACCAGCAGGGAGACATATTTCCAGTGGAAAGGGTATATAAATATGCTCTTCCACAGGTTTGTTCTGCAGGCTGTTACCTCTATAGATCTGATTTACTGCACACTTGACACAAAATAGAATAATGGTTAAATATTAGCATCATATTAAAATTTATAATGCATGAATCAGCTGATAGACCATATTTTCATATTCCAAGAATATTGATGTCCGAGAAGACCTCAAACCTCTTCCAAACACTTTTTAGTTTTGAATTATCTGGCAAAGTGGATTTGCAATGTTTTAAACTTAATTTTAAAGTAAATCAAAATAAAAAACAGTCCTCGGGATTCATGGGACATTCCACTTATGGGGCCATTCCCACTATTGGACAGTGTATCTTTATGTAAATCATTCTCATACATCCACACATTGCCATGTTTCCATGTTTCTTTACCAGCCTCGTTTTCCAGCAGTAGTGCAATGTCCTTTAACATCTCAACTACAGTACATACCTCTTAGCTCCAAGTCTTTGCCTTCAGGTGGTAGTTCTGTGGCTGTGGCACTTGGTGAATCAATGCGAATCCAGTTTTTTCCTGAAATATTCCCAACAATAGATTTTCTTACAAAACCATTAGGACAAAAAGAAAATTTATTGAAAAATGCATATGCATGCAATACAGAACAGTACACAACAACACTCTCTCTGCAGCCTTACTGGTTAAAGCAGATTACCCCTGAGAGGAGGAATCGGGAGATAGCCTTACCTTTACAGCGGCCCCGGTGTGCAATGGAGAGTGAATGATTCTTACAGCGTGCCTTCTGGAAGTCACAGCCAGTGTCATAACTCCGTCCATCAGAGCCACAGACAGGTTTGCCCTGTGTCCGCAAGCAGGTAACACTGCACTGAGTTTCCCAGTCCCCAATCAGCCACTGTTATCGGGAAATGCACATTTAGTTTAATCCATTACCTGTACCATTAATGACCTATATCAGTCAGTCTTGGAATAAACCTTAAATTTTTGAATATGTGAGAGAATGAATAACGAAGCATACAAACATTGCAGTTTATACTCATCTGGGAAATAAAATTAATATTTTTTTCTAAACTGTACAAACATGTTCAGCTCGTATGAAATGATCAGCTGGAGATATTTTTGAGAATCCATTTAGCTTTTTTTTTTAAATAACAAATTAAATACACATTTCATCACCTTCATGACCCAGCAGTAGGGGAACACCAAATCCATAAAATCTTAAACTGTATCAAATAATGTAAAGAAATAGTCATAAAAGAGGATACAAATCTCCAAAATCCAATAAAATCTACACACTACCAAAATGTGTGTATAGGGTGGACAGAGTATATACAAGGGATGAAACAAGTTTCATATGATAAAATCTACAATGGACAAGTACTCTCTGTAAATAATTTATGTGAATCATTCAACAACTGAAATAACATGGATACTGTACATACCTAAAAAAAGAAAAAACAGTTATCTTATACTGAGATTGCAAACAAAATGCAAGAACATTTCTCAATAATAAAGTATCCGCTCTAATGTGAATCCTTTATTTCTGCAAAATGAAAAACGGAAAGAGAACAGGGATTTAATGACTTATGTTATTTTTAAATCTTTCAACAAAATGTCAAGTTGTACTGTTGTATTGTATGTAATCATGGGGCCAAGATATCATTCAAAATGTCTTAAGGGACATTAGCATAAAATATTTCTTGACATCTGTATGGAAAGACTGGACTTGCTTTTATGGGGTGCCATGATATAAGATTGTCAGGATTAAACCAAATTTCATTTAAACCAAGAAACAAATCAAAGTTTGGTTGAGAAGGGCCAACCCATAGTTCTCTCATGCTTCTTAGTGGAGAATATGCAGTCAATTATTTTCCATTATAAGTTAGAAATTGTAGCACAGCATATATCCCATTCTCATACAGGGGGAGAAAATAGAATTTTAAAATTAAACACAGGCAGGTGGAGAAGCTAATTGATGTTCATTATGGAGATGTAAGTTTGACAAATGCATCTGTAGTCAAATCAGTGAATGTTTAAAAATGTTATTAAATTTGTTTACTGTGTTAGCATGCAAAGGAGAATACATTTCAATACCTTTTCGCATTTCGCATTTGATTGACCAGAGGCACCACAATCAGAGGTAGGAAAGAAGTTTAGTATTGTAAACTTAGAATTAATATTTTTAAATATATACTTTATAGATAAAGTACTGAAATCATTGAAAATAGACAGCAGATGAGGTATAGACATCATCTACATATGACGACAATATACTAATATCAACATTGAATTGCATAAAATGTAGTGTATTATTAACACAACAGTAGATTGATAAACAGCCTGAGCTAGAAGGTCCAAACACAAGGTAAACAACAGAGGCTGATCAAATTCTTGCTAGTCCTCAAGAGGGCATGGGCACTAGGGGTGTCGAGGCCTGTGAAAGAGGTGCCTAGGCTCCTAGTAACCAGGGAGACTCCTGCTGGGTTAGGGTTAGGGTTAGGGTTACGATTGGGGAAAGGGAAGAGATCAATGCCAGGGATATGACTGTAGTGGGTTGCTTAACTGACAATGAAACCGGGCAGAACCTGGGAGAGACAGGGAAAGAGAAAGCATTCCCTTAAAAGGAGAAAGAGGAGAGCAGGAGGGTGGAAAGGAATTGGCCACTGCCGTTTCAGAAATCTAGAGGAGTGAAGAACTCAGCAAAAGCTGGAAGAGAAGAAAAGACATCATGGGACAGCAGAAAGGTGACTGGATTTCACAGTTTGGAGAATTAGAGCTCAAAGAGTGAAAAGGTGATTTCTAACCCTCCATGGAGAAGTGAACAATGTCCAGTCAGGCTGTAAGCCAGTGAATGCAAGAGGATGATCTAACGTGAGTAAAAAAATGCGTGATGGACACATAGGAACAGTAGAGAAAGTTTTCTGGCAAGAGCAAGCACTGATTGTAAGAAAGAAGCACAAAAGGTTTGAATCTATTTGTAGGAGAGATGTAGGTGAGATAAGGAATTTAATTGTGACCTCATCCTGCATTAATGATTTAAAACACCATTGGTGGGATGTCTCCCATTAAAGTAAGAACTTTGCAAATATATATATATTTCAGGTGGGTAGCTGCGTCAGCATGCGTAGGCGGCAAAGGAACAAGTAATAGGTTTATTCCATGCTGAAAAAAAGAAGAAAGAGAACATAACGTTTCGGCTGTGGAGCCTTCTTCAGGTGTGAGGAATATATATATATATTTACAGCTACAGATGCAGCCATTCAAAATGCACGAAGTATTCTGTGGTAAAACGTGCTAGATGTGATGGGTCATAACGCGTCATACCGTAGTTATGATAATAGTATCCGGAATCACCTTGTAAATACTAATAAAGCTTAACCTCTCATGTACAGCATTTGACCTGTCACCAGAAAACGCCCGGTTTCAAATCCAGGTCACTGCTGAAGGACAATCTTCTTCCAATTTAGAATTTAAGTTGTATACTCTTCAGACTTTTAATAATTTTAAACTGTATTACAGCATGTTAATCATAAAACATTAAAAAGTTAGTATATTTTATAAAAGCAAGATTGCTCAGTTGGACAAAAGTACATAACCTTCCACCTTCATCATAAATATTTTAATTATGCAGAAATATTTTATGCATCAAAGTCTTTATGGAAGATATTACAAATAGAATTAAAAATGAATGACCTTCAACAGGCTGTAAGCTCAAAGTATAACCATGGTTCACTTTCTTTGTAACCACCTGCATCAGTTTAACTGTTGCAACACGCAAAGACATTATTTTTCATTGACAAAAAGTAACACCACAGGATTTTGTTGATCCGATCACGAATTCATTTCCAATCGTACAAAGTAAGTTTTGAGAATCTCCGATTCACCATGCTTTTCACATGCTCATAAATGATATAAATGTAGGAACTTAAACATATTATGTAAACTGTATATGGCTGGTATTGTTTAAATAAAAAATACGCACCAGTATTCCACTTTCTTCCTAAACATTTTAAACATTAAAGTCTTGCATTCAGCTGCATACTCCGGTTATTTTAGAAAAGGTTTTACGTGCTCCTTCTGGCTATATTAAGTTTATATGCTTTGTAAAAAGCTATCATGTTTTAACCTTTTCTGAAAATATGCTCATTATTGCAGTAAACAAAAGCATACTTTTCAGAATTTGATTAATAGAGAATATAATATGGATTCGCGTATCTAAAGAAATTAATAACGATAAAAGTATATTCATATACTGTTGCTCAAATGATCACACTTTTTTTGGAGATGTCTCCATCGGTTTCAGTGTTTCCCACATGATTAAGTCTGTGGCATAATGGGTTAGGTGTGTTCCTTGCACGCGTGAGGTCGGGGCTTCAAACCTAGCTATCGCCATGAGTTTTCTTTCAACAAATAAACATTTATTTGAAAACTAAAATAGCAAATATTATGGAAACTATATTGACATTTTTAGAATTTGATTAATAGGGAATATAATATGGAATAGTGTATCTAAATAAATTACATTTGGAATAGAAATTATATAAAAATTAAAAATCAGAGGTATATTTACTATAATCAATAAAAAATGTATATCCAAAGATAAGAGACAGGTGAGTTAATTTTGAGCGGTACGGGGTTGTACATAAAGTGAAGCTGCCACAGAGACAAAATTGCAGCTTTAACCGTTAATCAAACTAGGAGAAGCTTAAATAGACAAAGAAGAACCAAAACAATGAAATAAGACTATTATTATGGTCTAACGGAATGTGAGACTAAATTCAGATTAAATACTTTACAGGAGAACCTAATAGGGAAAGTTATAAAAGCACATATGTTACAGAGAGAATTTTGCTTGAGCTGAACTGGTTACTAACAGTATATAACAGTAATGGACCTTTGCAACAAGAGTATTACTATTGTGAGTGAAATATAGGGCAAAAAAAGATTTGTTTAGAAGATATATACAATATTAAAGAGAACTCACCAATGTGTACTGAATGATCCGGTAGCTCAGTTTGATTGATAATTATCACTATGCTGTATGTATAGATAATGTATTCAGGAATGCTTTTAAGTGAGATTTACTGTACCATGAGGGAAAAAACTAATTTAGAATCACCAAAGCTGTAATAGTATAACAAGGTTACAACCAGTACTAGAATTAAGTGCCTTTTACCAATATCACTAATAGTGCAATTCTTGTTCTTACAGGAACAAATACAAGGAGCAATCCAGACAACTAATATGTTTATATTTTACAGATAATCATGGGGCATGCCTGAAATGTGCATTTAGAAAAAATCTTTAAAATTGGATAATGTTTGTACAGAAGAAAAAAATGGTACAAAAAGAAATTGAAGTTAGACTGACAGCATAATTCACAGAGCACAAGAAAAATAATTTATCATTAGGTCTCAATGATACACACAAGTTTCAACTAATTCAAGTGAATGGACTGATTACATAAATCATCAAAACACACTAAACTTAATGGGAAAAGGAACTTATCAAAGACTTGATAAAAACACAGCTGCAATGGAGCTGTTTACTTTGGATAGTGCAAGGTGTACACAAAAGGACTTTTTAACACAACTGAAGTTTGTTTTGAAGATTCGAATCATGTCTATAGACAGATGAACTTTAAGGACTGTGTGACAATTTTAAGGATGGTATTGTTTTTGTCTAAAAAATGTTTGAAGTATGAATGTAAAACTATAAGAACTTGTATAAGTGTTGTAAATGTGTTTTTAAAAAGATGTTATTTTATAAGGTGACATGGTTACAACGTGCAAACAAATCCGATACTCTGCAATTGTTGCAGTATGGCAAATTCATATTGATAGTGAATAGCACCCGAAAAGTGCTAAAGTAAAACGTAGTTTAGATATTTGAAAT